CTTAAAGTTAGTGCTGAATACTTAGAATAATGTTTGGCAGGGCACAGGCACTTTATAAATATTTGTTAAATGAATGAATGAATAAACTTACACCAAGCTGCCTTGCATAGTGTATACTCATTATATGTTTATTAATGAGTAGATCAGTGGGTGGATGGATGGAAATATTTTTTTCAAGTGGCTTGCAATTCATCATTTGACATTTATTTTCAGGATCTGAAAGCAAATATTCACCAATGGATGGACATGCTAACCCACTACCAGGCTGGAGAAAAAAATCAAGATTCTGAGATCCTATCATAAAGTATTTTTTCATGTAGAGAAAAAGAAGTATTGCAGAATTTCAATAATTTGAAGTAAAAGCAAAAAAACTTACAAAATAAGGAAAAGTTTCTGGTCCATACAATATTTCTGTTATGGAATGTGTCAGCATGCTTGAAAGCTATGGTAATGGTTAATTTTAAATGTCACTAGCTGGCTGTAGCAGAGGAGAAAATACCCAGATTTCTGACCAACTAGGGCTGTGCTTGCCCCATAGTTTTAAATTTTAAACTGGGGCTTTTATTCTTGTCTTGGGCAAGCCCTTATTTACAAAGTAGGAGAAAAGAAGAAAGTTTTTCTTTATTTATTTCATTATTGCTATAGGAAAGAGATAGGAAAAAATATATATAAACAACATTTCTAAGACTTGGCAGATTTTGAAAAACCAAGTTGAAGGTCTGTTTTGGGAAGGTTTTGCTCTTTTTTTTGCCAGAAAGCATGTAAATATTTAGGCTTACTACAACTATTTTTTAGCAATCAATTGATGAGCCTTAAGAAGAGTAATACCCAGCATGGCGAGGGTCTTGGGTATAGGCAACCTCATATTCTGCTAATGGAACTGTAAATTTATTCAACCATTTTGAGGAGAATTTGGCCAGATATATCAAAAACTTAAAAATGTGCAAAGTCTGGGCCGGCCCCATAGCGCACTCGGGAGAGTGCGGCGCTTGGGAGCGCAGCAGCGCTCCCGCCGTGGGTTCGGATCCCATATAGGGATGGCCAGTGCGCTCATTGGCTGAGCGCGGTGCCGGCGACACCACACCAAGGGTTGCGATCCCCTTACCGGTCACGAAAAAGACACACACACACACAAAAATGTGCAAATTCTTTGACTTAGCAATTCTGCTTCTAGGAAATTTCCTTCAGGAATTAACTGGAAGACTGAGCAAAAATGTGTGTGTGGAGATATTTATTGCAGGGTTATTTGTATAAAACAAGAAAACATTGAGAATAGTTGGAATTTTTAATAATGGGATTATAAATGTATGTCTTCTCTATTGAATATTGTGCTGCCATTAAAAATGATGACAAAGGCCAGTAGATAATGTAGGATGCACAGTTTCATGCTGTGATGTAAATGGAAAAACTGACATAGAAAGATAAGAATACCATGACACCATTTGGTAAATACTACACAGTCATTTCTATGTTTGCTTAGAAAAATATCTGAAAGTCTGGTGAATTATGGAGGGTTTTAACTTTTAGCTTATCTGTATTTTCTATAATAAACATGGATTATTTTTTGCAAAAAATAATTTTTAAAGTGTGTTGGTACACTCACATATTGCCAATTCAAAGCATATGATATCATCTTAATGACAAAAAGGCTGTCAAGTTTCTTACAAAGGATGTATTTTTACAGTTTTGCATTTAAGATGAGAGCTCAGTTTTCATATAAGTTACAGTGAAATCCAAATCTTACAAACCTCAGAGGCTGAAGGGAATTTTATAGAGTTCATGCTTTTTCTAAAAAGACAGTCAGCTCACTAGATATGACTGGAGCTGCAGAAAATGCTTTCTAGGCAGAAAGGAATGATTTTTATAATATTCTTTGAAAGAGATTTAGTAAGACAGGAAGATTTTCTAAAGGTCTAAAGCTGTGCCTAGTGAGATAATCAATCAGACATTCTGAGTATATTAACTTTTTCGGTTCTTGCAAAAACAATTGGAGACAATAAACTGGTTATTTTCTTACTCAATAGTTAAACAGTCATAGCAAAATAAACTTACAAATGTTATCTTAGGAAAAGCTGAGTGAGAATATGTTTTCTAATGGCTCATATACTTTTCACCTTTATTAGAAGAGGGGTTCTAAGAGAGGCAGGAGTACTAATTTTTTTTACCTTAAAAAGACCAAACAGAGAATATTGATTAGTAGGAGTGAAAGGATATATCTTTAAAAGCACTATTACTATTAGGTAGTTTTTATTTGAAAGGCTTACATTTGAATTGGAACAAATTGTCTATTGGGAAGAAGATTTTATTAAAGCCATAGTAATTAAACTTTCAATAGAAGGGAATGAAAATTAATTATTTTATTCTCTATGTTTTATAATGAAATCAAAATTTCTAAATTCCTAATATTTTCCTCTCTGTACTAAGTATATGCTTGTGAATTTAGCTTGATGTGGATGTGTATTCAACAACAATAACTAATGTTTGAATCGAGTCATTCAATGTAAAGATGGCCATTTATACGGATTATCTTATTGGAGCCTCATACAAACCCTGACTAGCCTAAGGTCACACAAATATTATGTGGTAAATTCAGGCACAAGACTCACATGGTAACAAAATTAGAACTAATGTAAATATATGTATATGTATGCATGTGTGTGTATATGCACGCATGTGTATATGTGTGATGGCTCAGAGATAAATTATTCTGCCACTCAGTTTTGAACCTAATACCAACTGAGAGTTTGTAGCAACTCAATCATGGTATATACAGGTTCATTTTTAGATTGAAGGGTTATCTTAGCTTCCTTTCTGAGGAGTTAACCTTCTGCCAAGAAGTTCAGGATGGGCTCACCTAAAATCACAGAGCAGCACTACACGGGGATCAAGATAAGGCGGGAGCTAGGATTACTCACATCGACGAAATGTCCATCTTGTGTATGTAAAATAGTCATGGTTTCTGGGAACAGGTAAACTTTACTTTCACAAGACTCTCTTAGGACAATTTTCTATTTATGCCTCTGATGAAGAGAGGCTGAAACAGTGTGTTTAGTCATTTCGTTTTAAGCTCAAAACTAGCATCTGATACTATAATGGTAATGGTCATAGAAGCAGAAGGAGTGTTTTCAGGACCAGATTTCTTTTTTTACACTTAAAATCTGGGTCACTAAAAAATATCCATCTATCTAAACTTTTTAGACTAAAAATAATTTAACAGAGATAAGATTGATGGACTTATGACTGGCTCGAAGGGCTCAATACTAATTATTCCTCAGAAAGTTAAGTTAGTTCATTAAAAGCCTAGACTAACTTCTATTAAAGACCTGATTACTGAGTTCTTACACATATGATATCTCAGTTAATCTTTGTAACAATTTTCTTGTGATTGATACTGTTATACCCACTCTACAGATGGAGAAATTAAGGCTCAGCAGTGAAATAGCTTGCCAGCAGTTCTTACAACTACTGGTGGAACCCACCTTTGTTTGACCTGCTCTACAGCCTGCTGCCACCAGTGCTGACTGTCAATTCCGACACTGACTCTGACAAAGTAGGAAAAATTGATTCTCTCATCATAAATCTCACTGAACTAAACAGCAATATACTTACTCATATGAGGGGTCTTTAAACAGTTCCTGGAAAGATTCATATTATCTTTTAATTCTATTTTTCCTCAAACTTTTTGAAGTACCCTTGTGTTTGAAATAGTCAGTCTTTATGGATTGTGTATTTGTAAATTTGCCTACTTCCTAAAAATTATTTGTAAATTCCCCAAATCTATACTCATAGCAGTTTTATGGTCCTTTGCTGACCTGTGCAGAGTAGTGAAAAATTTTGTCTCCCAATGCGCACATTCCAAGCTGAAGTCTAGCAAGGCAACATACTCTGCCTTCTCGTTTCAGCTCTCACACTGTAAAAAAGTGTCCTTTTTGCTATTTAGTGCCACACTTTCCACATTTTTGTGATTTTCATTGGTGATTCTGCTTTTAAAAATGGTCCCTGAGTGTAGTGGTGAACTGCTCCCTCATGTTGCCAAGCACTAGAAAGCTGGGATGTGCTTCACCGAGAAAATATGCTCTAGCTTCATTTAGGCATGAGTTATAATGTGATGAGTTGGCCATAACTTCAACTGTGATAAGTTAATAATATATGTATTCAATCAGTTGTCTTTCAACAGAATACACATAAAGAAAAACTATGCATTGTTCAGTTGATGAAAATATCGTGACCAGAGGTTTGTTGAAACCAAACCTTGTGTCTCTACTAGGAGAAATGGTTCAGTATCCACTAATTTGATGTTCACAGAGACTTTATAGCACATAATTACCATGGATAGCAAGAATCAACTGCATGTGGTTTCACTGTTCTTTGTTAATGGTGTATTTACAAAAGTGGACTTCATGCCCTTGGATTAAAGTTTCACTATGAAGTAATTTTACTGGCTGTGCTAAACCCTATTCAGGGATTCATCCATTTTCTTCTATAAACCACTTTTTTAGTTTCCTATTGCTGCCATAGCAAGTTAAAGTTACCACAAACTTAGTGGCTTAAAACATAAACATTCATCGATTTATACTTGTGGAGGACAGAAGTCCCAAATGGGTTTTATAGGGCTAAAATCAAGGTATTGTCAGGATTGCCCTCCTTCTGGAGGCCCTAGGGGACAATACTTCCCTGTCTTTCCAGCTTCCAGAGGCCACCTGCATTCCTTGGCTCGTAGCCCACATCACTCTGACCGCTGCTGCTGTTGTCACATGTCCTCTGCCCCTCCTGCCTCCCTCTTCCAGTTATAAGGACATTTGTGATTGAGGATGTCAGCTTCTAGCCCTGTCAGTTATTTGCTCCTGAGCCCACATTTACTTCAGTATTATTATAAAGTAAAAAACCTTTTTCTTTGTATCTTGGAAGAATTGCTGAATAAATCCCCTGTGGGGGGTAGCACAATGCTCTTGTGCCTGTGATGCTTTCACTGTTGTCTTATTTTTCATTCATGTTTCTAGTCCCCAGAGCCAAGAAAAACCATTTGTATGTCCAGAGAAGAGTTCATGCAGAGGATGACAGAGATTGTTAGTTGGAGCACAAAGGAAGAATATGGGGAGCTCTTTGACAAAGCAGATGTGGCCCAAGACGGCCTCATTAATTGGGACAAGCTGACTTCATTTCTACTGTTAGCACTTTATGAGAAAGATGAACGAGTGAAGGCAACTGTGGTTCCCCCGTGGAAAGACCTCGAACTCCTCCCAGTAAAACACAAGGACGCCATTCAAAAAGTGATTTTTGTAAAAAGTTCAAGTCATTATCTGACTATCAGTAAAGAAGGTTTATTAGGAATCTGAGGAGAGAATCTGAAGCTTCAAGAGACACTTCCCATCACTTCAGATGCCACCAAGCTCAAACACCTATGGGTGACAAGTCTGATTTCCCTGGAAAATGTAAACAAGGTAAAAATCTTTATAAATAAATATACTGCTTTATAAATAAAGGGGAAAATGATGGTACAGGGCTCCTGATCAATATAAAGTATAATACTAGCAGTGACAGAGAGCTGCATTAGTCTTTCGGTGCCTCTCGTCTGACCTGGAGGGAATAAAAGTAGAGCCAAGAAGAGCTACTCAATTTCCCAAGCTGTTCTCTTGCATGTTTTAAAATGACACTGCCAATAATGACTCAGATTCTTGGCTCTGTCCCAAATGTGGCTATGCTGCATGATTAGCTGATAAGACCTTTACTCCTCTATGGTTTATGGCATGATCATGGATCTATATGCTGAGCTGAGAGGCTATTACAGTGCATGGCAGAGCTCAATGCAATTAAAGGGAACTGCTTATCTGATTTTGACTAGCACTAGTTAGTTTCTTAATTCTGATAGATAGGGCCCACTCAGTCCAAATATCTTCATATGACTATACCTATGAGCAAGATACTGTAGGAAAAACATTTTGTGGGGAAAGGTTGCAGCTTAAAGAATCTATATTCTTAATATTTTGTATTAAGCCAATGGTGATTTTTACTATGAAAAATTTCAAACTCACACACTTTAGTATTAGGACCCTGATGTACCCAGTATCCATCCTTAACCATTTTCTATTCACAGCCATTCTTGTTTCATTCATACCTCTCCCTTGTTAAGATCCAAAACATGAAAACATCAAATTACTTCATCCGAAAATATTTCAGTATTTCTAAAAGATATCTCTTTTTTTAGCATAACCAAAACACCACTATCATAGTTAATAGCAATAATTCCTTAATGTCATTAAATATTCAGTCACATGCATATTCCTCTGATTGTCTTATAATTTTTTAAAATATATTTTTTGTATTTTATTTGTATTTTTCTTAAAGTGTACATTGTTTTAACATCAACAACCACAAAAATCCCCTGCTCTCTCTCCTCAATTCCTAAATTTGCTCCTTAAAGGCATCCAATTTCAGCACTTTAATTTGTTCTTTACATTATTAATTTCCACTTTCTACATGCTTATATTGCAATTAAAAAAATTTTAATGGTATTCATCGTCTATATTGACTCCTGGTGCACCTCTGGTTGATTGACACGTGTTACTGATTTTTTTTTTTCCTTTTTGTCTTGTTTTCGTGTCCGGCAACTGATCGCAACCCTCAGTATCGCGCCCGTACCGGACTGGGACCGGCAACGGGATCGCAACCCTCGGTGTTGCGCCCGCACCTCGCTCAGCCAGTGAGCGGGAACCAGTCTGTATGTGGGATCCGAACCCTCGGTGGGAGCGCCGCCGCGCTCCCAAGCGGCGCAGTGTAGCAGTGCGCTACCGGGCCGGCCCCGTGTTACTGATTCTTGATGGAGCTTACTCAGAGTGAGATATTACAGAATCAGAATCCAGGAAAGAATATTTAACTTTCAGGTTACTTTAGTAGACCTTAGGACTTACTTATTTATTTGTTTATGTTAAGAATGGATTAAATATTTATTATTTTTTTAATTTTTAACTTTAAAAAATTATTTATTATTATTATTATTATTACATTTTAAGTTTTTGCAGAGCAGTTCAGGAGGATGGAGAGAGGGGAAGAGGGAGGGGTCTAGTTGGGAGAAGGAGGGAGGGGGCGTCATTAAAGCCCATGGCACCCACCTCATTTCAGCAGGGGAGCCCAGGCGGCTTCCAGTGGCAGCTTAGTGGTCATCACTGGGCTGGATGCACACATCAGGGGATGTGGCTGAGGCCTTTGATCTCCTACTGCCCCAGCTTGGGAGCCTGGGGCGCTTCTGGTGGCAGCTCAGTGGATGTCACTGGGCCGGCTGAGGATGTCAGAGGGATGTGGCTGAGGACTTCAGCCTTTCCACCCACACTAGCTTGGGAGCCCAGGGCACTTCTGGTCCTTCTAAGTTTTATAGGTGTTCTTTGGTGGTGTTAGACTGTAACTGGTTGGTATCAGAACTTTGTCTCTGATCTTTGGGCTTTTTGATTTTTCTTTCAGTTCTGTGTTGGATTATTCACTATTTTCACCACTTAAACTCTGCACTGGAACTGATTTGCTGTCCTGTGGTTACTTCTAAAATGGGGGAACTTCCTGTGGGAACCAGCACTTGAGCCCTATGGTTGAGCTAAATTGTTGCTTTGCTGCTGATTCTCTGGGGAAGGCTTTTTCTGCAGCTCAGGGTTTAATTGTTGACCTTGTAATCACTTCCAGGTTTTGTGAGGTTTGATACACCTGGTTGTGTGGAAATTCTAGTCTGGGCCTCATGCTTTTCAGCAAACTGCACCCCCTGAAGCTATATTCCTGACCAGTCTCCACTGAGTGGGCCTGTGCTGATTGGAGGACAGATCAACTGTCCATGATGTTCTCCAATGTTCCCCTGGTGGACCCATCTCCCCCACCCCCTCACTCTAAAAACTTCCCATGGGACAGGCCATGCATGGTCCCTTGCAATGACTCACCAGCCTCTGTGTCGCTCCTTTTTTACATTTGTCTGTGGCTGCTTGCTCCTATCTGGGTCCACAGGAACCCTGTTAGTGGTCTTGCTGGCCTGGGGGCCTCCAAGGTGCTCTTCTTTCCTGCAGCCTCCAAGCAAATTCATACAAAGGGCACAGCAGTGGCTTTTGTGAGCTCTTGCTCTACATGCTCACTGGTGTCAGCCTTGAAGTGGCCATTGCTTGAAATGGTCAGAGTAATCCTTTATTTCTCTCACTGTGGCTTTTCCTGACTTCATGAACTCTGTAGGCCTCTCCTCTTCCCTTGAGCTCTAGTGATCCCAGATTGGCAGTCATTGCTTTTTAATAGTTGTAAATTGGTTGATTGTGGGAAAGGGTGACACTGGGTACTGTCTATTCTGCCATCTTGATTGGAAGAGGGTTACAGAATTTTTAAGTTTATTAAGACTTGTTTTTATCACTTAATGTATAGTCTATCTTGGAGAACGTTTCAAGCCCACTTGAGAAAAATGAGCATTCTGCTGTTTTGGGGTAGAGTGTTCTAAAGACATTTGTTATATCTAGTTGATTTATGGTGTTTGTTAAGTCTTTGATTTTCTTGTTGATTGTCAGCCTCGTTGTTCTATCCATTATTGAAAGTGGGGTACTGACATCTCCAATGGTTATTGTTGAAATGTCTGTTTTTTTTTGATTCTTCCACTTTTTGCTTCATATTTTTGGGGCTCTGTTGTTAGAAAAATGGCAGATGTAAATCCTACCATGTATGTAGTTATATTAAATCTAAATGGATCAAACACTCCAATTAAAAGGCAGAGATTGGCAGAATGGTTCTTTATTTTAGTAATTTATACATGTTTATTGATATTCTCTCTTTGGTGAGACATAATTCTCATAATTTCCTTTAGTTATTTAGACATTGCTTTCTTTAGTTCTTTGGACATATTTATAATAGCTGAATTAGAGCTTTGTCTCATGAATCCAATGTGTGGGATTTCACGGAGACAGTTTCTACTGACTGATTTTTATGTTGTTAAATCATTTACCCTTTAAAAAATAGCCTTTAAGTTTTACCTGACTTATGAGAAGGCTACTTATAGAGTTTTAATTAATTGATTTCTGCAAAAGCCTTTGCTTGCTTCGTAAACCATGGCTTGTAAATGACTGTGTGATGCTATTGCTCTCTGTGTCTTGTCTTTACTGTGTGATTAGTCACCTGGTCTCCCATAGATGGAGAATGTTGGTGGGTGTGTGGAGTGGAAATAGGAAAGAAAAGGATGTTCAAAGGCCTTTAATGGGAAAAGTATTTTCCTGGCTAGAGTCCAAAGTTAGAATAAAATACATTTGTGCCATTATGCTATACTTCTGTAATATTGTTAAGGACTTTCAGGAAATAGTGTCTGATTGGATTTGCATGCCTGCTTTGCATGTTGATTTTACTAAATCTATCAGAAATACTTTTTGACTTTCTATTCTTCTACTTTAGATACCAGTGGCTTTTACAAGTAAAGAAATTCATTTCTGTGATCTACTGTCCAAAGAAGAATTTCCTTGTCAGTACAAACTCCAAGAACTGAAAGGAACACCAATTTGCATGGATTATTGGTATGATCCTCTTGATGCCCATAAATCAATTCTTTCTTTTGGGGATATAACTGGAAAGGTAAGTGAGGAAAGAATAAGATTGAATACTATGGATTTAATCATCAAAATGTAGCCCCAAATAGAAATTAAAATGCAATGACTTTCTGATTGAACTACATTATAGATTAAAAGGTCACACATATTGAGCATGGAAGAGATGGATTAGGTCACAATTCCTTTTTCTGCTTATAAGATGAAATTTTGTTGTGTTTTTCTTTCTTTCTTTCTTTTTTTTTTTGCCTGTGTGTAGTCTCATTTTCCTCATTTAGAAAAAAATATTGCTAACTTTTTTCATAATGGGATGTTAGATCTATTAGATCTCAATAGTAATAAGTGTTTAATATTAAATGTCTGAGTTTATCCTTCATAAGTCTTTCAACTTAATTATTCTGATTTTCATTCATAAGGTTTTGGGTTTCTCAGTATCAGCTTCCTAGGAAGATCTCATTTTCTGTATCATGTAACAAGAGGACAGATGCATTAGAAAGGACAGCACTGAAGCTTGTACATCACATACAATGATTTCCATCTTCCTATCAAATTCCACCTAACCTGTGAAAAATTATTCCTTACTGAATGACACTAAGATATGTTTGTGACCTCTGAAGTATTCTAATTTGGGCAATTTCCTTTCATAATTGTGAAAGCATTTTATTCTTACTGTTTTTTAATGACCAGTGTGTCTTAAAAGTAAGTAATAATCTGCCCTTGGTAATTTCTTTACCAACCTCATAGTTGTTCTGTCTTTTAATATAATTGCCTAAAACCTTTAAATGATATTGAAGAAATTCTTATTAATTCAATATTTCTTATCAATCTTAAAAAACACAGAATCTTCTTATATCAATTACCTTGCCCATGTTTGTTTTTCTTTCAATGTCTCTCTCAAGGTTCAAACAATTGTTTTCACAGCGGCCTTGATTTCCCTGTTTGAATGACCTGCTGCTAGCGCATGTGAAGATGAAGAAACTACCATGACCATTAACTGGGCAGAACTGCTCTCTGGATGTCACAAATGTTGCCGTATATTACAGTATAAACTTCATCATGGAGATTGGGTCAGTCAAGGTACTGAATGTGAACAGTAATGAAAGAAAACAGTAATGAAAGAAAACTGAATTTGAACAGTAATGAAAGAAGTCACTTTTGACTTCTACATTGATATTCTTTGATGAAAATGTTGCACAGAAAACGTCTAAGTCTAGAAACCAATAATTGGTTCTCTGGAGGTTTTGGCCTGGACTCTGCTATCCCTTAGACACTGGAAGAGATTAGTTCTTTCTTTTCTTTCCTTCTAAAATTTATGCCTAATACAATTAATTCGGGTGAACTGTGCACTCAAAAAATTTCAAGAGAAAGGAGAGAATTGTCATAGAATCCATTTAGCTTCAATCCAACTCTGATCCTAACTAATCTCATCTAGTCACATTTTAGGGCTGCTTAATAAAGGAATTTAATAAGCTCCCTCAAAACCACTTTTTTCTTTTCTTTATGTTCTCATGGGAAGTCCATTAGTGTGACTGCTTTCAAAATGGAATCATTTTAATTGTCTTTTCTTCTTATTTCTTTTTTTTTGATATTATGATGGAGTTTCTCTAATCTGAAGTACTCGAGCAGCAGTTTTCTGTATGGATTATGTTATAAATCAGCATCTATAGAAAACAAGAACTTTCTTAAAACCTAGTCACCAATGAGTTAATTAGTTTCATAATATACCTTAATTTTACAAAATTAATATCTGATAGTTCAAGATCTAAATGTGCAATATCTGCACTGATAAATTACATTAAAGAATGCCCATTAAAAGAATGGACATTAACAATATCATTGAATTTAATGGGCTTTATTGAGATTAGTGTTCTTGGTCTATTCCTAATATTGTTTGAAAAAGAGATAGTCAAAATGTACCCAACTGTTGGCTTTTATGGTACTTTTACCCTCTTTGGGTTTCAGGAAATTGAAACTAATTATTTAATGTATGCCCACAATAATGACATCATACGTGAGGAACTATATGATCCTAATTTTTTTTCTTCAATAGAAATCGTACCATGTCTTTGGTACCTCCTACCATCCTTTAATTCCAGCATGATATTAATTGTGGGAAAAACAAAAGGCATTTTTTGGTCATCTGCTAAGTGTGTCAGGCACAACATTATGTGTTAAGTTTTCATAACACTGAAAGAGGAATCACAGTATTAGAAATACACTGAATGGAGCTATTGCAGCTGCTCCCAAAAAAGGATTATATTTTGATACACAAGCCAAAGACTAGACGATAATAATAAAGTAATAGTTCTTGAAACCTATTCCTCATGGGTGCTCTGAAGTTTAGTGTATTATTCAAGTTCCCCAATCTTAAATTAATATGAATAAATACAGAGAGGTAGTCCATGGAATGCTGTTTTTGAAAAGGTTGGGAATATAACAAGTAAGGTTAAAATTGAGATTGTTTTTTTCTGAAGTTGAGAAATATCTAAATATCCTCTTTATGCTCAGGGAGAGAATGAAAAGTTCTCACTGTAGACCCTGCCTCAATTTAATTTAAGCTTCTCAAAAAACAACTCTACTGGCGAACCTGTCAACAGGCATTTGTCTCAGGTTGTGGAGAAGGATTGTTCTCTTGGTCAGTGTGAATTTGCTACTCATCATGTTTCCATCATTTCCTTCTGATCTTTAGTTCCTGCATCTATAGACAAAAGAATGTGGGAACTTAGTTTAGTATTAGCAGTAGAGATTGATGTTTATGACCTAAGAAATCCAACTTCAGAGTCTGGCCTCTAAATCACGGCAAATTAGGAACTGGCTACAGAAAAGTTGTATGAGTACATATATATCTATGTATCTATCTGTCTACATGTTTTTAAAATTAAGGATCTTTGCTATCTTATTTGGTTTATATATTTCTTATCTCTTTGGATCAAAACCCATTGTAATCAAGTGGATAATCTTTGGAAGAATTAAATATTTACTTTAGCCAGTTTATTTCAATTGTGGACCTCATGTGTCAATCAACAATTTTTTATTGACGTTTCTAATGTGCTTGAAAACTGTCTTAGGCATTTGAGGCTGTAGAAAAAAGATTAATTATTGGCTCAACCCTCAAGAAATTTAGTATCTGAAAGAGAATTAAAGACTAACTATTAGAACATTATATGGTGGTACTGAAAATTAATTACTAAACATATAAACAAGACTTTTTTTTTTTCCCCTTTTTGTCTTTTTTACTGACTGGTAACGGGATCACAACCCTCGACAGTACGACCGGTGATGGGATTGCAACCCTTGGTGTTGCACCCGCACCACGCTCAGCCAGTGAGCGGGAACCGGTCTCCACATGGGATCCGAACCCTCGGCAGGAGCGCTGCCGCACTCCCAAGCGGCACACTCTCCAGTGTGCCACCGGGCCGGCCCAAGACTTTTGATTCCTATGGTAGTTCTTAAGCAGAAAAAGCCATGAGGAGAAGGTTCAAGGGTAAGTGGTGGTACTAGAAGGATGTGTGGGTGGAGGGAGAAGGAAAGAACATGGTGAGAATGAGTACCGGTAGGCAAACAGGCAGAGTCATTACAGAGGGAGAGGTGACGTGAATGGATGGCAGACTAAGTATTGAGGAAATAAAAGTGATAGGTCAAATGGGGACATATATTCAAAGATCTTGACAACCAGGCCAAGTTTGTATGTGATACAAAGATAAAGCAGTGAAACATTGAAGGTTTTTGAGAAAACGTGGACAGACCTGATACAGATGGAATTTAGGGAAGATTTATTTGGTATTTCTGTTGAGCATGGGTTGGAAGAGAAAGAAACTGCCATCTGACTGGCTAGTTAGAAGGTAGTTGTTTTTGAAAAAAATTTGTTTTGACCATACTAATTGACACATAATATTTATGGGGAATAGTGCGATGTTTTAATACATGTGATTGATTAGCAGAACTTTTAAAATCCTCTCTTCTTGCTAATTTGAAATATACAATATATTATTGTTAACCATAGTCACCTCACTGTGTACCAGAGTGTTGGAGCTAATTCCTTCTATCTACTGTCTAGTTACAAGGTTTTTGATCATAAGAAAATAGAAATGATAGCGCAAGGATAGAAACAAGAAGCTTCTGAAGCAAGAATCTTCAGTACTTGAGGTCCGAAAATGTGGGCTAATGAGCCATTTTAGAACTTCTTACAGTAATTTCAGTTTCCAGGTGGGGAATTCTCTGCATGCAGGTCACAGATACCCACCTAGGCCCAGTACTCAGAGTCTTCCCGACTCATCTTCTGATCTTTGACCAACTCTGGAGGGTTCTTTATTCTGAAATACTCCCGATCTTGCTACCAAAGAATTGTTTTTACCACCGTTGTTCCTGAAACTTCCCTTACTTTTAGCTGCTTTACCTCATATCAGGCTCCTTATTTTGCCTCTTCGTCCATCTAAATCAGATGAAATCTTCATTACATAATTTTCAAAGTTGTCAATTTTGGCTTTGCTCCTGGATTCTTCTTTAAAATCTTGCTTTCAGATGCTGCTCAATCTGTGAATCAATTGTACCAATTTCTGTACCCACATTAGAATTTGGGTCCTGCCTATTACTCTCTCAACACCAGAAGGACATTTGGATGCCTCAAATGTAAATTACATTTACATATAAACAGACTATTAAAACATCCTTCTTGGGGCCGGAACTATGTCCTTTATTCTCCATAGTGTCCACCGTAACACATAACACAATGTTTTATAAGTTTTTCCCTTTATCACCGATTTTAAGCAATTAGATTATGATGTGCCTTAGTTTTTCTTGGGTGTGTGTGTATGTGTGTGGTTTACCCTGCTTAAAATTCATTGAGATTCTCAATATGTAGAATTATAGCTCTCATTAAACTTGGTAATTTTTCTACTGTTATTTTTTTCAAAGTTTTCTGCCTCCCACCCCTCTTTTTTTCTGGGACTCAAATTATTTGCCTCTCCAGAAGTGTGCCCCACAACTTTAGCTGCTTCACCCTCTTCTACCTTCAATCTTCATCTCTAACTCAGGAGTTTGCTGGGCTCTGTGTGGTTTTCTTCTCTCTGTGCCCATAGTTTTGAAATGTCTTTCGAGAAGGCTGGGGTAGCTGTAGGGTTCATCTCATTTGTTTCTCTTCTCTCAGGGTTCACAGTTCTCCACTGCCTATTGTCAAATGTCTGAAAATATTGTTATCAATATTTGTTCAGTTTCCTAGTTGTTTACAGTGGGTAATTAATCCTTCTTACTTCATCATGTTTGGAAGCAGAAATTCATCACAAAGCTTTTAAAATGGTGAGTACACAATAAATATTTGTTGATCATTTAGCCCCTTTCTTTTGTTGAGATCTTTTAGTCACTTTAACAATCCTTTCCCTACTGCAAGTTTAAAAGCTTTTATGTGTCATTTATGCTACAGTGCGCCGCTTGGGAGTGTGGCGGCGCTCCCGCCGAGGGTTTGGATCCCACATACAGACCGGTTCCCGCTCACTGGCTGAGCAAGTTGCGGGCGCAGCACCGAGGGTTGCGATCCCGTTGCCGGTCCTGGTCCGGTACGGGCGCGACACTGAGGGTTGCGATCCGTTGCCGGACACGAAAAAAGACAAAAAAAAAAAAAAAAAAGAAGATTATGTGTCATTCACCCAGAAAACATTTAAGTAACTGTTATATAACAGGCACAGTACAAAGCACTGTTATAAGTTCAATTGAATTCTGTTGTCTAGATCAGTCCTAAGAAACTTAACTTCTGATATACTGACTAAGGAGATTTTTAACAGCAATTACTTTAGTTTTATTTATTATCATGTTCACTCTGANAAAAAAAAAAAAAAAAGAAGATTATGTGTCATTCACCCAGAAAACATTTAAGTAACTGTTATATAACAGGCACGGTACAAAGCACTGTTATAGTTCAATTGAATTCTGTTGTCTAGATCAGTCCTAAGAAACTTAACTTCTGATATATTGACTAAGGAGATTTTTAACAGCAATTACTTTAGTTTTATTTATTATCATGTTCACTCTGAAGCTCTCAAAACTCAGCATCCAGTCAGTAACACTTACTGAGTGTCCATCTG